TTTCTCATTCCAGCTCATCAAGCAGTGATGAGGAGTCAACAGATGATGATAAGGATTCAAGAAAACCAACAAAAGAACTAGAAACACCCGAAGAACAAGATGTAGCTGATGAAAAGACCAGTGAGACTGTTGAAGATGAGGTTAAATCAGATGATAACGCCAGTGAGTCAGTTGAATATGAGGTTAAACCGGATGATAAAACCAATGACACAACTGAAGATAAGGTTAAACCAGATGATGGAAGTGAGGATGATGTCTCAGGTAAACTCAGTGACACTGAAGAAGTGAAACCAGAACTGGAAGAAGATGAGCCCAGTGATAATGCTGAAGTGGTTGAACCTGAACCTACAGAAACAATTGTTGAAGAAAAAACTATTACTGAAGCACCAGAACAAGAAACTGGTGGAGGTGATGAAACCACATCAACTGAAGAAGTAATTGTTGTTGATAGCGACATAATATTAGCTGCAACACCTCATTTGGGCAAAGAATCTGACTCAGGCACAAGCATGGATGAGGAAAGAGCAAATGAAAGATTTTGCAGAAAAAACAGTTCTTCTAGCAGTTCCTTAGACAGTTTTAAATCTTGCCGTTCAAATTCACCAAATAGTGATGTGGAATCAGTAGATGGTGAAAGGAATTCTGGAAAATCAAATGCGCAAAAAGAATCTCTTGAAGAACAAGATGTAGCTGGTGAAAAAAACAATAAGTCCATTGAACATGAAGTTAATCCAGTCACTGAAGTTCATGGTCCGAAAACGGAGGCTAAATACTTAGATAGTACGATTGTATCTGATGATGTAAATCTAGAATTGCAAACAAGCTCATCAATTGAACAAAGCAGCATTGACAAAGCTCTTGCTGGGAGTGATGCAATAATGGAAAAGAGTTTGAAAAAAGGAGATACTCAATATTCGAAAAGACGCAAGTCAAGCAGTTCATCCACTTCAAGCTCCTACAGTGAATTAGATTAGATTATGTTTTAGAAGCACTTGTGTCATGCAAACAAATTCTACATGTAATGACATAAAATAGAACTGTATAACACTAGGCCTACACTGTTCTGCATAAGATAATTCAAAGATTGTGTTCAGCTTGGTTTGAGTAAAATCATTAAGCATGATAACTAACAATATAATTTACCTTATGTTTGAATGATTCACAGGGAGTGCTGAAGATTTCTATCTATATATATAGTAATGATTTTCTACACCTTCAATATTTTATACAACTTTCAAGACCAGCCAATAATGTTGGAATGAATATTTGAACCAAAAGAGTCACAATTTTTTTTATAAGCTATTTTTCGTAATTTAAAACCAATCAGTAATTGTGTACATAACATATCTGAAACATAATTACTGGTGGATAATTTATGTATTTGTAGTACATACCTACAATTTCGTGCAAATTGTCTACATGTTTGATAATAGAATTTTTTTTTCTATATTTTGGTCAAGTGAATCTTGTATTTCACATTGTGACTGTTGTTAGAGGATAACAAATTATTCATTTATAGCTTGATTCTGGTGTGTGTGTCCCCAACAGTTGAATATGCATTGGTGTGTTTCAAATTTTAGTTTAGTACAAATTGTGTATTTAGCTGTTGAATTCTCATCATTTATTGTTCTCTGAATTTAAAATTTTAAAACTGGAAATGCATCATGAGATATGGTGTAATATTATTTTTTTTTAAATTAGTTGTGTGTTTTGTGAATAGAGTGATATTTCGTGATACCCAAAAACTTGAAGTTGTTTTCACTATGTGTTTTTTGCTAAGCTTTTGACAGATTTAACTTTGATATGAATTATTTTGTGTTTGTCGAATGTTATGACGATTTGTACAACATGATTGGGTTTCAAACATGCATCTTGGATCCTAAACTCGGTTTATATTTCTCACCACTATGTGTCTCCATACTTTGTCGTTCTCTAAGCTTAATCAAAAATACATGTGTAATGAAAACATGATAATACACTTGATTTTTCGCGAATGGCTGTCACGATCTCATTGAGAATGAAAGCCACGTGACTTGATTTTGACCACAAACAGCGTACCTTTCTCTCTCGTCATCGCATCCACTGTTCCGAATACCACCATGGTCAGAGAAACACTGCATATACTGTCACAAGTCACAAGATTTCAGCAGCCTTTAAACAAACATATATTAGATGAAAACAATATGCAACTTTTGTATTGCAGTGTATAACATCATAGAAAATCAAACAATATTTTATTTGTTTATATTTCACATTTGTATATCTTTTTCTTTGATTTAAACACATGCTGGCAATATTTAGAGAGTGATTAAAAAGACCTGGAAGTACATAACAATAAACTTGTCATAGTGATAACATATCTAACAATTGGGCTAGAGATTAGCAATGAACACATATCAAATCGATTACATGCTTTTGTTGTGAAGCATACAACAATTACCTGCCATGGTTCATGCCGAGTGGAGGTAATGATGGATTGAATACTTTAGGTCAAGTATGTAACAATTTCTTGTGCTCGACCTTGATTTTTTTAGGCAGACTGGCAAGCTTAGATCATTATTTCTTGTGCTAACTTTGTTAATATTATGTGCAGATTTTTGTTTTCTTTAGTGCATAAAGCTCCTGATGAGTGAGGAACTTGTATCTTACGAAACAGTGCTGTCGAGTTTCAATATTCATGTAGTTGTGTATTAATTTCTCTATTACCGTATTTATCCGCTCTACATATACTTTGTATTTAGCACTTTTGTTTTGGAATAATCGACTTTCGATATATATTAATCTACACTATATATATATATATATATATATAGTTTTAATCATACAGTTTTTGTGTGTGTTTGAGAACAAATTGATGTGTAATTCTAACACACCATCTGCAGGTTTGAAATTTATGAAAAAAAGTTTTTAAAGTTTACAACCAATTTATTTATTATGTGTAGAGTTATACTTACCATGAACAATGATTTTGCAGCGAAGTTAGTTGATATACAATCTGATTAAAATCTGATGTATTGTACGGCGTTTTATATCATATATTTATTTCACTTTTACTATTTTTTTTATTATTTTGTATTTTTTATGCTTTTTGTTAGTACTTGTTATTCGGTATATTTTTAACCATCGCCACATACATCTGAACCAATAACTATGTAACGAGATTTCAACGCGACCTCTTCCGACTGGTTTTAAGTCAACGAATCATAGACCTCATTCCAAAGCGCACCTGATGACGTACACCGGTCAGAGTCGGGTCACAAACACACTCCAATAAAATGGCGGATTATACCGATGTTAGCGATGAAAATGATCGGCAAACACACGGCTTTTCGGTGAGTTTATCATTGCCAAACGCAACGAAAGTCATATATGATTTTTTTGTTTATATTGTGGCTTGAATGGTTCAAGTTTAGGTAGTTATTTTGTGTAGTTATTCCAGGAGTGACGTTTTTTCCCAACGATTCGACCGAACACGGGTATCTTTTTCCAGTCGCTTGCCCTAGAGACGGGTGATGTTTTGTTGACGATCGGGCCAAAATCGCCTACGGTATTGAAGCCGTAGCTGTAAATATTCATCAAAATGTATCAACATTTTGTACAATAACTCTTTATTAAAGTAATTGAGCTGATTTGGACTGGAATAAAATGTTTTTTTTATTTGGACCACATCGCAATTGATCATGAAATATTTTTGGTCTAATATTCTGCGTGGACGTTGGTGCGCCGGAGACCGTTATACAATTTAAAATCAGTTTGCATTGTTTACTATTGCTGTTTACAGTGTTCTAATCATGACGATTTACTTGTTTTTTGTTTCCATTCTAGATAATTATTCTCAATGTTTGGTGTAAAGTTGAAGCGATGACTGAATAAACGAACCTTGGCTGGCGAAGATGCATCAGGAAGTGTGCACATTTGTTGAAAATAAAAAAATATTCAATGTAATGACCAAAATCGTACAATTCTGTCGAATCTCTTTTGTATATAAAAATGTACTAGTAATTTTCTATTAATGGTTTATGCAAGTTAATTTATTGATCTGTACATGAATTGGTGGGCAAAATACAGAAAGATTGCCCGTAGAGTATTGCTACACTGAAAAGTATGAATTGCCAAACAAAAATTATACTAGAGCGAGGAACTGACATTTTCTCGCACCTCATCTACACTTGATATTATTCTCGCCACTGATATTTTTCGCCGTGGTGGTGGTGTGTAATTTTGAAATTAAACAGTCTAATGACGAGAATCCGAATTCCCACTGATAATTTGTGAGAATTATCAAAGGTCAACAAAATGCATGGCAGAAACAAATTAAAGCCGATGAGAACATGACGTCTTGCCAAACTGCGAAAAGCGGGCACTTCTCACACTCTATGCCGAAAAAATGTTAAATTTGTATTTTTGTATCAATCGGAGCACCGCCCCCCCCCCAATAATTCCTACTGGACAGGGCTCCGGCAGTCAACCGCACATCTAGATCGCCGTAGCAATGACGATCTGGATAGTACATGTCTGACCGTGTTTTCTGAAACTTAAAAAAAAATATGGTCATGAACACGTCAGTAAAAAGAAAAATTAAATAAATTGTCCGTCACAGTACACAACAGAACATGATTTTTTAGCCTTCAAAGAAAAAAGAAAAATTGACCCGGGTATCTAACCACCTTCCGGGCAATTTTCCTGGCCAACCTTTGATTGAGATGATTGTCTTCAAAATGAAATCCATGCGGCGCCGCACGATCTTTTTTCTTGTACATTGTAATTGTATGTTAAATATTTTCTCCAATGAGTACGCCGTCAGCCAATATAGAAGGCGAGCTGTGATTGGCTTTAGCTTATAATATTTGAACGGGATTTATATTGGCATTGGGGCCATATCCTTGTTTTGGCATTCGCAATTACTAAAACATTAATAAACTATCAACAAATAAATAATAGATCAAATTAAATGATAGATAAAAATAAAATAAAATAAAATAAAATAAAATAAAATAAAATAAAATAAAAAAAGGCAAAACTAGGATCTTATTTTAATCAGATTGGTTGATATATTGCACAAGGAGAGTCTACAGTCTGGGTCGTGCCTTTAAAACTTGTGAATAAAATTGCAAATTTATTCTAGTGACAAATACTCGACAATAATGATGGGGACATGTGACCTTATTATTTTACATACTTACAATATATCAAGCACTGTTGCAGACACAAACATGTAACTAGGACTGTCATGAAGGTATCAGACTTCATTAATAGCCATAACTGTAATATCTAAAAACACTTGCAGACAGGAATATGTATCCATTGCTATATTGAAGTCATCAGACAAGAGGAATGGCTATCCTATCAGATGACAATATATGATCATGTGATCTCTAAACTATGTAAGCATATCGAATTAACTGAAATCAACTGCAAATATGCATCGAAAACTGGGCGTTGTTGTAATCGAAATCCAAGCATTGCTGCCATGTAGTTATACTTAGACCTATTCAGTTTACTATTACTAAAACAGGGCGATTTTTTGTTCATACTTTGTATCAGGATTATGCATATTGGGTTACAGATGCACGTCATATATATTAAAAAAAACGACTGGCGGCCATTTTGTTTTTAATCATGTCCATGTCGATTTATTACTGTTATGTCATCTAAAATACTATATATTAGTCGACTGGCAATCAATTGTTTGTTATGGTAACCATGCAAGTTTCTGTATGTATGTATCTGTGATTATAATGACCATATTGTATATCTACACGTGGTTTGAAATGAACACTGAGATCGGGTACCGGTATAAACTAATCGGGACTGTACATTGGCAATGCTTGTTAATTATCTAATTTGCATAAATTAGCCTATGTCTAGCTTCTCAACACAGATATGAATAACAACTCACCAGCTTTTAATGAAACTTGATAAATAACATCTCTAGTTTGGAGCTGAAATCGTGCAAAGTAATTACAAATTTACACAAATTAGCCAATTTGTAATTGTTTAAACGACTTTTTTGGCATTCTGAAGTAATTTTAAATATACTCTCAGCACACAGCTAAGCGTTCCCTTATCTTTTATTATTATTATGCTTTATTTAATGTCAATTACATCAAATAAATAACTGAGTGAATAAATTAAGGCAGTGTACAATGGAAACGCCTAGTTGTACAATAACCGGGCCCATTGCTGTATCAAAACACATCTTCATTTTATATCACTTGTTTACACGACTGCTAATAAAACATTACAGTTTTACTACAGTCATGTGAATGTGCTACGAAAAATATTATTGTTGACATTCTAAAATCACACCAAAACTGATAACTATAGATGCTGGAACAACATGTTTTAAAGAGAGCACGTTTAACATTGCGACTACAGTTGCAAAGCTTACGCAGTGAGACATTCGCCTACACACAACTCTGACGTCTTTAGTGGACAATATCTACGTTATCCTTAAGGTTACTAGTAATTTTATGACCCAGGGAATTCAACAGAATTTATTAGTTTTTGTTTTTGATTTTGGTTGCACAGCAGCAATGTCGGGATACGATGCAGCATATTGCGACTAGAGAAGTACATTTATTTTGTTTTTTGAATGTTGTAAACGATGTCCAGTTCATTGGCACACAGTTCACAGACACGGATAAGTTTACGTTCACCCTTAATGGAGGGCGCTATTATATACGTACCATCGGCATAGCTCAAGTTGTTGATAATACATGGTCCTTTTATATCACCTAATTATTAATTAACTTAAGTTAACGCCTCGAAAGCATAAAAACAAACGAATAATACATGACTAAGAGAATTATAATAACAGATGATCTCCTTATGAATTATTTCAGTTTATTAGTCAGGAGTGTCAACACAAGCCAGAGATAATACATTATCCTGTTATCAGAAAATCACAACGCTTCAGCGCAAGAGGGCGCGATACCGATAGCTACCTCAAGGGTAACAACTACATTGACTGTTGTAATGCCACGTATTGGTTATTCAAATTATCTGTACCTTTAAAGTTGTAAAAGTTTGTGCCTTCAGTTTTTCACTGGACTTGGACTTGGTTGTGAATATTATTCAGTTGCTATAGTAGAGGTAGGTGAGTTTTTATGACGCTTCAAGTGCAATGACGATGTTAAAAAGCATATGAATTACCATACTCCATACAGCAATATTGCATTTATTTGTTACTTGCCATGGTAGGTTTTATTGGTCATTAATACGTTCGGTATTTCTTATAAATCCTATTTAACTTATATTTTGAGGAAGAATTATTGCTTCAAATGTTGTCAGATAATTATTAGATGATTGAATGTATATACACCGACGCGATGATATATTTGGACTTTGACCTTTAATGGAGGTGGGCTGTGTAAGGCTATGTTTACACAACAGCTTTACTGACAACAGTTTGATATATTTAGTGTTTAGTGATATAGATATAACTACCCAAAAGTAGTATGTACAAAATGAGGTCCGGTGAAGGGCATGCCTTGAATGTGCTTGGTAAATATTAACTCAAGATAGAAGCTGAGTGTGTAGGTTTCTCACACGTAAACAGATAGGTGTAGGTCACACATGCTACTTACACCGTACTGACGCTGAACCTGTTGCTGGTTTGGGATATCCACATGAGACCCAACTCAACCCACTGTGGATATCGTCATGGTAACATTTTGCAACAATGTGGTATTTATGATGTGAATTCTTGGCAGTGTTCACATCAATAGTCAACTATGAGCTACACATACTTGCCCGTAAGGTAACCACATGTAGATTAAAATTGAACAAATCAACCGGCTTATATTGTCAAGGTGGGGTGACTTATAACTTATAATTGTGTAAATTCCTTGCTGGTCATATAGTTTCATTGAATGTTATTATGTAGTTGATACCTGATAAAACATATTAAGACATATTAAAGCAAACCAATCCCATCCTACAATATAATACAATAACATGGACCGTTCCACTCTCTCCTATTTAGACATACCACTGTAACTATGGGTGGATGTATGGCCAAACCTAAAAAGGCCAAGAATGGGTCAAGCGAGAATGAACCTTATGAACGGAAGCCAAGCTCCACAAAGAAGCGTGGCAGCTCGAAAGCTAGTAAAAAGAGAAACAGCTTGGATGAAAAAGAGGACTCAGATCGTATTGTTGATCAAACAAGTGGAGAAGACGATGACGTTACAGAAACGTCTAAAGAAGAAGATGAAAAACCTGGTTTAGAATCCGACTCTGAAGAACAAAATGGGGAAGTTTGCAGTGAGAACAAATCAAAAAATAGTAGCGATGAAAAACAACAAATTGACAATAATTCGGAACATTTAGACAATTTAGTTGACTTTGATAAGATTCTGGAGACAATCCGTGCAGATCGGGAGGAAAAAAGTGATTCGAATATTTCAGAAAACGAAAATAATGACGAAATATCCAACCCAATTGTGTCAGAATCTCTTGCAAGTGACAAACATGATAGTGCCAGTGAAACAGGTTCAACTCACATATCAGATGTCAAGACACACATGGATTTACTAGTTGAAGAAATGGGTCTCTCAGAAAATGACCTGCTGGAAGAAATTAAAATAGACTGGACATCTACTAAAAATACTAGTGATGCTCAGACAGAAAGCTCCGTGGTACATGAAGATAACAAGATAAAATCAGTTGATTCGGAATTACATGCATCAGCAACTCAACAATCTGAGTCTACTGATAACAAACCTAACAATAGAAACGGTGGAAGTCATACAGTAGAACGGGAAAAGATGTTGGAACCAACAGATACAGCCAAACAGATTAAAGACGCATCTGAAATATTGAAAGAGGAAAAGGAATTGCTTAGAAAAAGATGCAATAAGCTAAAAGATGAGATAAATAACCTGTTTAAAGTTGAACAGAGTACTGATAAAGATATAAGTGAAGATGAAATATGAGAAAGAGGTTATCCCTCCATTGGAAAGTGAATTACAACAAATAAAGGTAGAGAATGAAAAGAAAGATCATCGCATTGGGGAATTATTGGAACGTTTAAATCAACATGACAACTTGAAAGGAGATTATACTACATTAAACGAAACGTTATGGGGTGAACTTGAGATCAAGGAAGGGAAGCTGACTGAACTAGAAGCCAAGGTGATGGAGCTTGAAACCATGATTGAAAGCAATGTTGAAAAACCTGTTTAAAATGATCACAAAGATATTTAGATGGCGAATCACAGGCATACGCAGATTTAGGGGAGGCGCGCCAGGCGCCCCATCCTGTTTAGTTGGCAAAATTGGCAAATCAATTGACAAACCCAATCCACGCCATGAAGATATTCAATAGCAGTAGCGCCCTCGTTACCAAAATGTTTGGATCCGCCTATGACCAGTACCTAATGAACATGAATAAATTGTTTAATATGCTGCATATACAAATGAATCACAAAATGGGACAATGTTCCTAATTGGGCGTGGTAGTTTATTTAGAAAAAAAATCAGCACATACATTTCATGCGTGTTATTTTGTTTGCAAACGCCATGAATAGATTCAACTATATGTATGCCTGAAAGTCTGAGAGAATAATTTGCATAATGTATAGTGCATATTCCTTCTTTTTTTATTTTATTTTATATGTATTGATTTTGTGTAACACATTTTTGTAAAGTGTACCTCTGCTCTAAACTGTATTATCATTGCTGACTTTATTTGGAATACCAGTAAGTATTCTTTTTGCTGCTTATAGACATTTGTTTATCTAGGATAATGTACTATATAACATAAATAGTATATTCCTGGTAGAATTCAAACAAAAACTGGTGGAACATTCCGGAAATTCACAGATTACAATAGTGCAGATATCATTCTGTATCATCGCTTTACTCAACATTTCTGATGATTTATTTTATTCTTTGAATGCTACTAAATACTTTATTGAACATTCGTAACTATTACCAAGATCTGATATAATTATGTTAAATAACGTTAAGATATTTTATCACGATCAACGACTGTATGTGTTAAAGTGTGCTTCTAGTGTTATATTAACTATACGGTATTTTGTTTTCTTAGTAAAATAAATTCAACGGGTCAACATATTTGTGCAGAAACAATATTTGTACACAAACAGTACGTTTATCTCTTGCTATCAAAATATTAAACATATATACACTGTGCATCGATGGAGGGCGCTACACCATTCCATCTATAAGTACCTGCCTAAAGGTTGATAACCCTAATGAGTGTTATGTCACATCGGTTTATTTGTAGTTCCATAGTTCGGGGGACTTAACCTTATTGTGCCAGCACATATACAAACTTATAGCGCTAGAGGGCGCTACACCATTCATCTATCAGTACCGACCAGAAGGTTGACAACCTTAGTAAGTGTTGTGCTACATCGGTTTATTTATAGTTCCATAGTTCGGTGGACTTAACCTTATCGCGTCAGCGCTCAGTAAATTCCACAGATCGACTACAGGTGTGTACTGCAATCACATAGTATCACTGGACTTGGCTTCCCAAATTACTCTGTTGCTATAACAGGTATGTGTAAAACTTTGAAACAATTCAATATGGCAACGTTATACAGAACTATTTTGCATTTATTTGAGATGTATATAATGGACATTTCTATTAACCCAACCGTTATTACATTGAATGATCAGTAATATATTACTATTTTTTTTTTCATTTACCCAGCGTGTAATATTTATTGGGAGACAAATTAGTTGTTGTGGATAGAACTGTACGCTGTTGCCTCGTAATCTGTGGACTTTGAACATCTAAGTGAATGACATAGCTTTAATGCATCTGTATCGACCACAGATGGTACTGCAATTGAACTTTTAAAAGAAAATGATTTACTAGTAGGAACATTACTTACTGCCAGGGATTACAGAAGAGTGACCACCTGTTACAAATAGTTGTGAGGTTCGGATAGAAAAAACCAACATGATGAATTCAGTTGATTCAGCATTTTACGCATCAGCAATTCAACAAACTTCATTTGAGTCAAGCTATAACAATCATATTAATGCCAGTGATAAAAGTCAGAGTGTAGAAGGGGAAAAGTTATCGATGACTTCCGATAAAATAAAACTATATAAAAACAAATGTAAAATGTTAACCGATCAAAACGAACTACTTAGAAGAAGGTGCAATACGTTAGAGAATGAGGTAAATAATATGCTCAGAGTTGGAAAAAACATTGAATTGAATGAAGTGAAGATGAAATACGAGAACGAAGTTATCCCAGCATTGAAAAGTAAATTACAACAAGTACAGGTAGAACATAAACTAAAAGATCGTCGCATTGGGGAACTATTGAAGCTTATAAAGCAGAAAGATAACTTGAAAGAAGGGTATATTTCATTAAACGAAAACTTACTGAAAGAACTTGAGTCAAGGA